GCGTGTGAGAAACTCACCAGCCTCTTTGTTGTCTTCTTCTGTGATTTCTACTCGCTTCAAGTCAAGTCTGATCATTCAGCACATCTTCAGACAGCAGAGGCTGGACCAACGCGCTCTCTGGGCACGCTCTGTTGCATCGCAGCGCTCCGAGAATCCAGTTTGAGAGCACAGAATTACCATAAAACAAGAAATAAAAAATGTGAAACACAGCAATAAGAACATTAAAAATAAGAATAACCACACAACAAAATTAAACCAAAATAAAACAAACAAACAGTTAAAAACATCTGGAGTGAAGCGAGCACCTCAGACCTGAGGCCGGTCTTTAAAACGCTCTGTTGGTGATCTGAGAGGAACAACAGCGAAGGACCGCTGGCCTTTGGCTTTTAGGAGAAAAGACAGGAGAGACGCTGCTGGGACGCCGACCTCACAATAGAGACTTAAGAACAAATGAAATCGATCTATTTCCAAAGGCTCGAGCAGGACTGATGTGTTGTCTGTTCTTCGTATTGAACCGTCTGCAGCAAGCTGTCCTTCACAGCATCACTGACCTAAAATCAAGGAGCTATCCATGAAAAGACTCAACCACAGGTTGGACGTGTGCGGAGGAAGGATGCTGAACCTCGGTGAGGGTGAAAGTTTGGGGAGCTGAAGAAAATAACTGCAGTATGCTTGAACTCACCACATTTGTGTGGAGTGCTGAGCTGCATCAGTGTTTACCAATGCAGACTTCCTAACATGCTGTTACTACAGTTGTTACTGCAGTTATAACAGGTTGTCTATAATTGAATTCTCCACCTTTTCGTGCACATGTGGCCACTTCTGGTTCCAAAAATCAGCATCACCAAGCTCACAGAGCAACATGGCGCTGTATCAGTGTGTGGCATCGTGGTCCATGACCTTTATGGAGGTTTCGTAAACGACATCATGGACGTGTTCTGACGTACTGACTGGGATATAACCAGTGGTCACGAGGGGACGATGTGATTGGTTGGCGAGGGGGGAAGTAAAATAAAAGTCAAATATGTTGGTTGAAGAGCTGAGGCCCAACTTTTACTTTGAAGGTGACCTGTGTCCTGTTTCCTGTTTGTGTTG